GCGTGTGTTTGTGTGTGTTTGTGTGCGTGTGTGAGTTTGTGCGTGTGTGTGTGTGTTTGCGTTTGTATGTGCGTACATGTGTGTGTTTTCGTGTCGGTGTGAGTGTGTCTGTTTTTGTACCTATGTGAAATTGTATGTGTGGATGAGAGTGTACATATATGAACATACATATACACATGTCTACAAAACAATAGATACATTTATGCCAATATATGCATCTAAGTTCATCTACGCTCATACGTATGCATTCAACATTGATATATCAATATGCATTCAAATGATATTATGCTTGATAACGAAATTTACGGTGGCAATTTGAGTTGTTCTTGAACTTGTGACTAAACAAGAGTAGTATGATTATATGTATAATTATACAACTCTAGATTAAAATGAAAGTGCAATCTTGTTTTGTATTCTAACTAAATTTATTTCTAAGTTGTCAGCAAATCTAATTACGTGAGACTTTGAAGCCACTTTTGGTCGTTGGCTTGCGCTTTGCGTCTTTGTCTTTACCACCACCCGTGCCTCGTTGCACAAGTTTACTTCCACCTATCTTCTTCCCTGCTTTAGTCTTATAGTCACTACTCATGGTTTTGGCCGTCCCATTCGCGGGTGCCTTGGACCTTGGCCCGTTTTGCTTGTCGCCTGTACCATTCTTCCTGTTATTGGCCACATCGACCTTTCCCTGTGATTTTTGCTTCTTGTTGACCTTCGCCTCGCCTAGTGCACTGGGTTTAGTTGTGATCGAAGACTGGATCAACGCCTTAGCGTGCAATGCAGCTCTCGCCGCACTGCCGACTGCTGTCTGGTTACGTTGATGGGTGGTCTGGATTTGTTGCATCGTGCCCTTCTGTTGGGCTTTTGTGTCCTTCGCTACCCTTGCCACTTGCTTTTTGTTGATCTTCACAGACGTTATCTCATTCTCCTCCTCCGCCGGTCCTTGACCCTCGGAAATCAACTCATTCCCTTCAGGCTGCTGTTTAGTCTCCTTCTCCTCAAAACTCTCTATTGTATTTGACTCGTCTATACTGAACACATACCGATGCGCATTGTCTACACTCGGCGCCTCCCTCACTGCTGGATTTGTACGACGTGGTGCATATCCTAATCGCTCGAATGAGTCGCTCTCAAATTCTTCGGTGCGTATCAGAGCGAACCCCTGAGAGTTCCCAATCTTCTCAATATTCCAGCTTTGGTAGAAGGGCGTATCCCTAAGCGTCACGTGCACCTGGCCACCTTTGGAGTATCGTGAGGACACAGGGTTCAATAAGAGTCTGGTGCTAGCAAACATGCTCTTCAGAACCTCTATATTCACTTCCACATCACCAGCAACCGAGCCACCCACATGTGGGAAATTGAACACTATCAAATCAAACTTCTCACAGCATAGGCCATGGTCTTGATGCTCAATACTCTCGGAATTCCCCACCTCACTCTCATGATGTAGCGCTTGAGCATCCACCTCGTGATGTACAGTCACGCCACTATCAGTGAGACACCTAAGGATCCGTTGCGCCTCTTCATACTTTGTAATGACTTCATCGTACGCGTCGTACGAAGTCGCTGTTATCCTGGCACCGCCAATACTGGTTGACAGAGCGAGCGCGAACGAGAAGTTGCCTTCACCTACGGATGGTGTGGTTAAAATACATCGGTAGTAAATATGTAGCTCTTATCTCTCAGTCTATAGCTCGCCCGCCGAATCATTCGCGAATCGAAACTTCAAAACCAGATGAAGCATGTATAGGTATTTGTTACCGCAAAGTCGCGCGCAACATTGATCAGGTACTAATCAAAATGAGTCACGAACCACTAAGAATTACTTCCCAGTTAACATAGCGCGTATAAACTGACGAGGCATTAGGACGTGTATTGACCTGAGTCAGGCTATGTCATACAACTTCTGAATTTGCTCAGTAGAAATATCGAGGTATATTCAGACATGTGGATTCCTAATCTGGTCACCCCAGCGTGGAAAGAATTGGAAGGTAACACATTGAGAGGCACGACTGCAGAGATTACGTGCAGTTAAGATTAATATACCTAAAATTGGAAACGAGTGAGCGTTTAAAACGATACTATGGATTTGATCATTAATATATATATATATGTATATATATTAATATATATATATATATGTGTGTGTGTATAGATAGATAGATATATATATACAGATACAATATATGTATATATATATATATATATGTGTGTGTGTGTGTGCGTGTGTATGTATATATATATGTGTGTGCGTGTATATAGATATTTAAATATATATATATATATAATATATATATATACAGTATTATATAATATATATATATATATATATATATATGTATAAATATATATATATATATATGAATGCATGTATCTATGTAAGTATTAATGTAATGTATACATGCATGCATGTATGTACGTAAGTATGTATACATGTATGTATATATGTATGTATGTATGTATGTATGTATGTATATTGGTATGTACGTATGTATGTATGTATGTATGTAGGTATGTATATGTATATATATCTATTAAAGAAATTGTGTTCACCTGTACATATAAAATGCTTATGAACTAGGGTAGAAGCCACTCATACATACATTTCCCACAATGCAGAAGCACGTATCACTGCAATAAGTCTACATATGTACGCCATATCCATTATATTGTTCTAAAATCATTAAAAGTATCACAGCTTTTCTGAATGCACAACCACATGTTTCAATAAATCAATATCATATCATGGCCCTCTGGATGGCGTCTCGTCGAGAATTATAAAGTCTCCTGGACATACATGTTTTCCGCAAAAACCCTGATCCAGAGGGTCATGATCACTTATCTCAATATACTTTTTGTGTATGTATATTAATTTATACAGATGCAATTCAAGCTTTGAAAACGTAAATAAGCAGATATGTCAGCCGGTTAAGATGATGAGACTTCATATCTGAGGAAGCATATGTTCGGGATTGGATATAGATACTAGTAAAGTAGACTCGCGTCTGAAAAGGTCTGTTAGATTTATCACATAGATCAAGTGACTACATAAACATGCATGTAAGAGGGAATCAACAAATGCAAATACACACATACAAATGGAGTTGTACACGCACCAACTCTCATACACATATGATAGTACACATATTTACCCAACTCTGTTTAGACGACAAAAAACGTATACAACTATGTTTAGACGACAAAATACGTATCCAACTATGTTTAGACGACAAAAAACGGCACTGTCTCTGTATATATCTGTAAAGGGTAGAATGAATTTGGAAATATGCGTGCGATTCGCATTTTGCAATTATTTGGGAAACATGCTATTCTCCGTTTCCTACACAATGTAGACTGTTGCCATAACACTTCCTCTACTGGTAAGCAAGGACCACAGCCAATATTTCATCATCTATAAAAATACACTCTCCAATCAATATACTAATACCATAGCCAATACGGACTTAATATTCTCCAATACCTAGAAGTAAGATGCGATCGGCGTTCGAATACGGGCCCTCTTTTCGAGGATTGTATGAAGTTGTGGTGAGAGTAGTCAGTTCCATTTGCTGGGCCGACACATGTGGTTTGATGATTGTTAATCTGTGTCGCTTATTCTCGCTTTGGCGCTGACGGTTTTGCGCGTGCTTTCGCTTCCCCATTGGTTTGTTGCCCATAATGTAAACCGAATTAAAGATACTGTTTCGGGTATGGCTATGAACTCAAAACTCCTTGAAATAACCCTTTAATTAAACCCAAATTATCCCCTTGCTTTCGAATCACGACCAAATAATTGGTCTTATTTCACGAATAACTATCCACCTTATTTACTACGACTTCAGATAAAGCAATCCCACTATGTATATTTACCGCTCTCACGTATATACTTCTTGATGTGATACAAGAGATGAGATATGTATATCTAACTTCTTGAAAATGCTTCTTGGCATAGCCTCCTAAAAAAAGGCCGTTGGACCTTGGATAGCTCAATCTGTTATCGAAGGGTTTAGGGTTGTAAAAAAGCCACGGGTCACGAAGTCACCCGTCACGAACACGGGCCATGTCCCACGGGGACACTCTGATCACTTGTGTTGGCGGGCTGGCTGGTTCTGCCGCTCTAGTATTCTATGTCCCGGTATATTCTACATTATAAAACGGTATGGATTTCAATATAGACCACCAGAGTGACCAGTGACCAGACTCAAGTCAAAAAAACCAGACACCAGTCAGTCAGTCACCAGTGTTCGTTTTCCTATTTTTTTTTTACTCACAAAAAAAACAAAATACACCAACCAAGACTAATATTACACATGGGGTCTCCGCGTCTCATCGAATAGCCGAGGTCATCACTCTGAATTGTACAGTAAAATGTGCGCAATTATATATTTCGGATTATCACAGAATCAGACAACCAGACACGTACTAAAACTTAACGGGTTGTTAAATCGATACACACACTTGCGTAGCATTCTCATACCATAAACACATACACAAAATGGCTGAAGTAAACCCTAAAGCATACCCCTTGGCTGATGCCGAACTTACTGTCACCATCCTAGATTTGGTTCAGCAGGCTGCCAATTACAAGCAATTAAAGAAAGGAGCTAACGAAGCGACGAAGACCCTCAACCGTGGTATCTCAGAGTTCATCGTAATGGCCGCCGACACCGAGCCCATTGAGATTCTGTTACATCTGCCTCTACTTTGTGAGGATAAGAATGTTCCCTATGTATTCGTCCCTTCAAAACAGGTAAGTTGGTCAGCAAGTTTTGTAAGATGCGATCTACGTTTATAGCATCATCGCATTATCGCGCGCGTGTAAGTGCGATCTTTTTTTATCCTGACGATGGAAAACGTATTATCGATTATGTTATAGCTGCTCAGCTGCTCTTTTTCAAGTGTATTAAGTTGTGTGGCTAGTTAACGATTGTCCGTCAAAATGTAACGTCTATATACGACTTGCATGTTGGATGACCTCGAGTACTTCATACCTAGGTATCGTGCAGTTGTACATATTCCGATTACTTACGAATTTATGGTTGTAATTAATACCTATCTCCAACATTATTAGGGAGGTGTTTCCTGTACCCGGTATAAGCACTTGATATTAACTTATAGCGGAAGGGTGTTTTCCCTCCTTGGATTGTGACTTCAAGCTAGTGTGCAATGGCTTATTATATTTATTTATTATTTTCTCTGGCAGGCCCTTGGACGTGCATGCGGCGTCTCACGATCCGTAATTGCCTGTTCGGTAACTACCAAGGAAGGTTCTCAGCTCAGCTCACAAATTAACACGCTTAAAATTAATATCGAGAAGCTTCTCTTTTAAATACGAGCTTACACCGGCAGTGTCATACATGCAGATTGTGCGCATCTGGTCGGCAATTAGTTTATTCTGTACACAAATCTACAGATGCAATTTGTTGTGTCTGCGGGTGATGGATGAGCCTCTGGCATTGAGGGGACGTATGAACCCAACCTTGTATCAATAAATGCCAACTTAGACAATAGTAAATATGAATTGTATTCAACCAATACCAGACTGCGGCACATGTTATTGTATCGGATTAGGGAAAGTCCATATTGATGTATTGAATTCATATGGGCGTTGTATATTATTTTTCAACTTCCCGCTTGGCTAGTTGTGCTTCATATGGGTTTCCAGTTGATGTCGTGGTGGAGCGGTGTTTAGATCTAGTTATCATATGGATTCCATTTCGGTCGTATGTTTGCATAATGAATATGTCGTCGATTGGATTTTGATCGTCTTCAAGG